AACAATCATTTGTAATCGAGCATAAAAACATTGACTGGTGTTAGGGGTTGACCATCTAGTACCAGCGAGACAACAGACAGAAGGATTGGAATTGAAGTGTACTCCAAGGCAGCCAAACTTGAGAGAATGGCACTTTTCTTACGGATGATGTTGATTTCTCGTCTGCAATGAACACAAAGCATTTTTGTTATCACTTTCGGACAAACTGAGGGAAACGAAGAGAAACTGTGCACTCCCTGATTGGTTAGATACGTATCGATTATTATACCCCTAATAATATACATGAAAAATTTTCTCTGTTCTGATTGGTTAAGATGAATGCAGTTTTCAGTTAATTCAGTGCAAAGAAAGAAACAAACCTACTTTCGTGTATTTTTTATTTTTTCTCTGAATGCATCCTCCCAAGCACGTGCTTTGACAGCACGTATCCCAGAAACCATTTGGGTCGTTAAGGAAATTCGCCGATCAGACTCCGCTGCTGAACTCAGACGTAGTGCAGCATAGACAGAAGACATCTCTGCGTAATACGGCAAAAGAAGACAGAGAAATATCTCTCCCATAAGAGCCTGCCAGCCAATCAGATACGTGATTAGAAACGTTGCAGACACGATTTGAAGTATGCTTGAACTTATTGTGAAAATCCATTTAGGTGCTGTCTCCATCCGCTGAACATCATTTGACAAGAGGTCGATCACACGCCCGGCTGAAACCTTTGACAATGTGCTCTTGCTGAGCAGTAAGATCTGAGGATAAAACAATATCAATACCAGAGTCAAGATGGCCTCCCCCTCTTTTGAAGTCAGTGTAGGGTGCATTTAGCTTGACTACTCTGAAAGGTAAACCCACGTTTATTGCAACAGGAAACTAGTATCATGAACTACTATTCGCCGAAGTAGAGGATATTTATCAAGTTGCAAAGTGGCGAGGTAATGACCCACCACTGGCCAACGACACTGAGGTGTATATGTTCTTTAGTAAATGCTAAAACAGTGAGATAATATAGCACAAAAAGATGATTCTAACTCATTTAGTCCTGCAACGATTACGATATTCTCGGGCGAAAATCCCGCGCGAGTTGCTCGCAGGTGAATAGGGATATTCGGAGTTTGAGTAGCCAATCAGGGCACGTCCTCAACCCTATCCACTGTTTAAGTATATACTAAAGATGATTAGTGTATAAAACACATGTAGGCTGATTGGCTAGTTCATTGAATGCAACAAGGGGCTACAGGAGCCCATCAACAGGAGCCTCTAATTCCTCCAGTTTCTTGAGTCTACCCTTTCCCGAGTAGCTTTATATTTAGAACGGCTTTTTTCCCGCCAAATGGGGGAATGTGACGTAAAACAACATCAAGCTCCGTTTTGATTGGGTCTTTGAACTTTGTGCGTGGGAAACCTCTCCTGGGAGCCTTTCTATAAATATAACTACTCGGGAAAGGGTTGATTCCAAGGCTTAGTATAGGAGATAAAGGCTCCTGTTGATGGGCTCCTGGGAGCTAACAAGAACAACCACCTAGTTAGCCACGTTGGTAGGACACCGACTGCTATCCCCGGGATCGAGGTTTCAAGCCTCGGATCGAACCAGCTCTCACGCTTCCAAGACAGAGGATTAGCTAGAGGAGTCTTGGGGTGACCATACAAATCTAAGAATTTAGGTTTGCGAAAACGTATGAATTCAGAGAGCCTATAGCTTGGGCACAAATATTTCCAATGGTGGCTATTTCTTTTTACCATGTAAATACTAGCCCGCGTATAACACCCAACCCTCTCCTGGCTCGTCCCAATCTTCTTCAAAGCGGCGGCAACTGACACAGGTAGGTGCAGCGGAATGGGAAAAAGCGATAAAACTTTTCCTCTTTCCCATCACCCCTTTCTTCATTAGGTAGGCGCCGCGCATATTATAAAGAAGGTTGGGGACGAGTCAGCTACCCCACTTGAGCTCACCTTTTTGTAAACTAGACCTTTTAATGCGGTACTCAGTCTGATGCCCATTATTTCACTCGCATAAGCGTGATGTTGCATGCCGAGGCTCCCTACCAAAGTGTTTACAGCCATAGCAGTTGCTAACACGCAACCATGAAGGATGTTATTCTGATGCATTTCGCCTGGTGACATTAACGTGAAAATCGAGTATCCAATTAACAATGGTGAAAGTATGGAGCCGATTACGTACAAGACACAACAGCAGGCAACAAACGCAGCCTCAATTGGGGAAAACATCTTCACGACACTTTTCCACAACTTTGGTCTTCTCTCCTTTTTCATAGAATTAGCTATTTCTTCTCTCCACTTTTTGTCTAGACGTTCTGTGGCTGACAGTGAGGTGTTCTCGTTTGAGAGTGGTACGAAATCACCTTCTTCTAGGGCTCGCTTACTGCCTGTCTTCATGACATTGTTCATCCATTGTAGTAGAAGGACAGAAACAAAACCAGCTTTCTCAGCAAATTCATTGGTAGAGGAGATCTTAGTGTAACCATTTGGCGCCATGATTCTAAATCTCCGGTCGAAAAACACAGTCAATATTATCATCTCTCACCGGTTCACATTTTGCTACTGTATTATTACAATTTGACAAAAGAGATGAACAAAATTGCACTTTTAATGAAAATAGAATGAGAGAGATCACGATAAATTATTTGATTCCTCGTAAAGAAATCTGAATTTTTGGGCCCGCTCTTGTAGTAAAAGCTAATAAAATCCTTTTTTTATTTCATTACCAAGCTTAAGGTATTGCCGGTTCTAGAAGTATGAAAGATGCTTGTAACAACCCCGAAATTTAGGGGTTCTATTGCTTGCCGGAGACTTTCTAGTTCCCAGTCCTATGAACGGATAACACATTTCTTCATTCTAACGTTGTTAATACTCTTACGAGGACTCATAAATTCCTCTATCCTGGATGCTTGGCGAAATGTAGAAATTTTGTCTTTATTTTACAACCGAACTGATTATTTCAATTTGTATCATCCCTAAAATTCATAATTATTACTTTTAGTCTCCTTCGCTCCGCAGTTCTTTGGCCGAACCTTCGTCACGCTGATGTCGTGTTGCCCGACGAGCTCAACGAACACTTTTTTCCCGAGACTTGCCAATGTCTACGGTTTTTTTTTNACGTATGTGCCGTTGCCATAGCGACACGAGTCTATATAAATATGCAAATTAAAATCGGTTTTGTTTCTTTGTAGAAAATCTAGTCATTAGATTTTCTTTATAATTTGCATGCAACGAGCCTGTAACGATACTCACAAGTTAACACCATTATGCTGACAATTTAACAGAGAGATCTTTGATTATCCCTTGTTCAAGGTGGTTCACTCGATTTTCTAGAATTTCCTTTGTTTAAAATCAATATTTTTGAATACTCCAGTTATTTATTTCCTAAAGTATTTTTGTGCCAAATTTCGTGAAATTCTAATGAGTGGTTCTCAAGAAATAGGCATATTTCCGAGAAAGCAATTTTCCATTCAATCGCAATTTTTTTAATTACTACGCATGCGCTGCATTTCACTGGTTTCTTTCGGTAACGACGAAAAAGCTGAGGTGGGTTCTTTTCACCGTTAACTTTTCTAACATATCTTTGTATTAAAAGATTAAAGCCCTCTATACATTGCGCCAACTATAGACAAAAATAGCACAGATAGTGCTGGTACGTGTTGAGTAAATGAAACGACCGCTCTGTTGACGGTATGTTTGTTTTCTGCAGTCCTTGTGCGCGGGCTGAATTGCATCAGCAAAAGCGCGCGCGAAAACTGTGCTCAGCCACCTTTAGGTTTTTCTATCCTTGTCTGCGGGCAGATCCTTGTTACTAACGCTAGCTGCAGCACGGGCCTTTCTTCGCCAGCGAGAAATTTTGAGAAGAGTCGGCACAACGTCTGGCAGTGGCACCACTATTAATAACAGATCCCTCGAAGACCTTTGGCGGGCTCATTCTGCTCAAACTGTGAATGTCTTCATGCCGTGCAGAACTCAGTTTAACTAAATTTTGAAACGGCTTCTATTTGCATTTGATAAACATTAGAGCTTGATGACAAAAAAAGAGTATCAGTCGAAAAAAAAAAAAACAGAATCTAACTGCAAGATTTCAAAAGATTCACATGCACTTCGAACTTACGTGTAAAACTTGTCTATAAAATCTTTTTGTCTTCCCCTGGTCCGAATCGTGTTCAGTCCGTCAAGGGTCTCTGATACGTGAGAGAAGACTGGGCTTCGACATATTGACTCCAATCGTTTTAGTTCTCTGGAACTCTTCAAGTAGAATCTCGCTAAGTAAAGAATCATGGCCGTCAATGGGACGGTGACAAACAAAAGCCAAGGGTTCGCAGCAGAAGGTACTATAATCGATGAGAGCAATAACAAAACCAGCTGAATCGTAGATAGAAACTGTAGCGGTAATAACTCTTCCATGCAACCCACATCGTTAGAGAATCGATTTAGGATTCTACCCACGGGATTTGAGTCGAAGAAAAGAACCGGTGCTTTTAAAAGAGCCACGACCATTTCGTCGTGAAGACGCTCAGAGCATCTCAGGCAAATCAACAAGAAAATGTAGGCTCTGAGGATGCTCAATACGAAGGAAGCAGCTACCAAACAGCTATAGATCGTAAGATTTGTCTCGTCTTTCTGTTCTGGTGGAAGTTTCGTGGTCAAAAACGACAGCCATACGTCAGGGGAAACCATCGATGCTAAATAGGGCGAAAAATATGGTAAATGATTAAAATACGTATATTGATTTTAACATTTCATTTCCAGGAAATTGGCGGGCGTAATATGTCAATCTCATCACCCTCTGCGTGCCTCTCTGTTCCAAGTTTCCTTCGTTCCTCTAAAAAAAAACGCGACTGGCCTAGAGTTTCTGACTTCGCTTGCTTTTTCCTCCAAAGAAGAGTAGGACTTGCTTTGCGACACCTAACAATGGGTGGGGAGACTCGTTATGTCCTTTCTTCTTCAATAATTCATCAGGGCTCACCTTGGGTAAATAAACACAAGCAAAGTACTCCAATGATGAACAAGGAGTGAACACCACTTCTGAAGTAGTCCCAGTAAAGCTTGCTTGATACCGTTCCGATTGCCCGGTCTTCAACAGATATTTTGAGATCGTTGCAATCAGAGGTCAGCGGCATTGTGACCATACCGCTGCGTTTCTCTTCGTTCTCCTTTGGGGTTTTGTCATTGGAATGAGTTCTTGCCAGAGCATTCTTGTGAAGTGGGTCGATTGTGGAATTTAAAATGCCTTTCTCTTGAAGTTCCGCGTAAGTTCCTCTCCCCAGAACGCGTCCTTTGTGCAGCATAATCACTTGGTCGGCATCTTTCATGTGATGTTCTTGATGAGAAGTTAACAGTCGCGTCTTCTCACCAAGCAAAGACTTAATACACTTTTCGAAAATATGCCGACCAACTTTGTAGTCCACCGAACTCAGAGGGTCGTCCAACAAATAAAGGTCTGCATCCACGTACACTGCACGTGCTAAGCTTACTCTTGCACGCTGACCACCGCTCAGAACGGTACCGCGCTCGCCAACAACTGTTTGGTCACCCTTCGGAAACTGCTGAAAGTCTTCTGCGAGTGCGCATGCCTCGATTATTCTGGTGTATCTTGGTTCATCGTACGACTCTCCAAACAAAATATTTTCTTGTAAGGTTCCAGAAAACACCCAAGCTATTTGCGTCGCATACACAAAGGTTCCTTGGCGGCTTATTGTTCCGCTTATATCTGACATCTCGCCAGCAATCGCTGAGAGGAGAGTTGATTTACCGCTGCCCACTGGTCCGGTGACGACCGTCAAGCTTCTTGATGGAGCATTGAATTGAACGTTTTGAATGATAAATTCATCTTTTCTCCCAATTTCCTTGAAGTTTAAATTCGACACAAACAAAGTTCCTGATATATCAGGCTTTATCCACTGAGCAGTCCTGGGTTTTTCTTCCCATTCTTGTGGCTGGCTTGTCATTTTAAAATCGCTCGATAACTTAACGGAATTTTTCTTTCGTGCTATTTCTTTGTCTTTTACACCCCGATCGTCAGAAATGGCAAACAAATTTTCTAGAATAAGAAAATCTTCTATTCTCCCGAGTGATACAAGTGCTTCACGTGTCTCCACCACACCATACGCAAAATTGAAGCAAATGTTGAGTCTTAGTAAGTTGATAAATATTAAAAGCATAAAGACATTGATTGGTGTTAGGGGTTGACCAGTAAGTAGCAGCGTAATAATGGACAGCAGGGTTGGAATTGAAGTGTACTCCAAGGCAGCCAAACCTGAGAGAATAGCACTTTTCTTTCGGATCATGCCGATTTCTCGTCTGCAAGAAACGAAAAGCATTGTGGTTATCATTTTCAGACAAACTAAACGAACAGAGAAAATCTGCGCCCACTGATTGGCTATATACATATTCCTTTTCCGACGGTTTAACGAATGAGACTTGCGGATATTTTGCGAGTGCGTTGTATTCTTCGCAGCCCCGTATTATGTATAAGAAACCATTAAAGTTATCTTTAGGATCAGGTAAAAAATTGATGTACTTGAAGGTTCTTTGATATCAAAGAAAGCCTAAACTACGAAAAAAAAGCAACGTTTGGATGATTTACATAGACGATTTTGTCTCTCCGTTTTCAGTCCGTATTTTTGTCATGTTCCACAGTGTAAAGCCGTGGCATATTTTGCGTGTTCTGATATTTAATAGCGGTACATTAATAAACAATTATTACATCTTAAACCCCACTGAAAACTTAGCATATTTTTCAATAAACAATGCACAATAAACTCTTCGTCGCATTTTCTCTCTGTTCGCCAACGTCATAATCTACGCAAGAACTCGGGGAAAACGTACCGTACTTTGTTGTTCACTCGTTCAGTTACAAAATCTTCGATTATTAGCCCGACATTTCACATGGGTTATCTGGTCGCTATAGCCTCGTCGGTGCAAAGCTCTTGAGCACTTACGTAAATACAAATAATAGATTTTGAAAATTTGCTTACTTTCGTATACGTTTTATTTTTTCTCTGAATTTATCCTCCCACGCATGCGCTTTGATAGCGCGTATCCCAGAAACCACTTGGTTTGTCAAGGAAATTCGCCGATCAGATTCTGCTGCGGCACGCAGACGCAGTGCAGCAAAGACAGAAGACATCTCGTCGTAATAGGGTAAAAGAAGACAGAGAAAAATCTCTCCCATAAGAGCCTGCCAGCCAATCAGATACGTCATCAGAAATGTTGTAATTACAATTTGAAACATCGATAAAATTATTAAACAAAACCAAAAAGGTGCTGTCTCTATCCGCTGCACATCATTTGATATGAGATCGATCACACGGCCTGTGGAAAACTTTGACAATGCACTCTTGCTGAGGAGTAAGATCTAAGAATAAAACAATAAAAAGAAGCGTAAGAGTCGCGCGAGGCGATAGCCGAGAGCGACTCTAGCTTCTTGAGGGAGTAGCAAACCTCCCAAGTGCATCCGTAACTCAATAGTGTACACTGTGGCGTTTACCATTTGTTTTATAACATAACATTGATACATTATAGCAAAAAACAAGCGCGCACGGAAAACTAGTCTATGCATTTTCTCATATCAGCAGCGTACACCCATAGGCAAATGGTGGACGTTGAATTGACCAATCAGAGTGAGCGCTTTACTTTGGTTATGTTATAATTTCACTATCCAAATAATTGCACACCTACCCCTTCCCTAACCCGACAACAATCAACTGATAACAAGTTAATAGGGCTAAAGAAGTTGGGTTAGGGGAGGGGTGGGTGGGTAGGAGCACAGTTGCTCAGAAACCGAGATTGATCTGGCTTCTCTCGACGAAAGCTATGTTCATGCTTTCCAGCCATCTCTTCATTTTAGACAACTAGCCTTGGGCATTGAAAAATCAGATGTATTACAATCAGAGTCTCTGGAATAAAGGAAAAATCAGTTACACAACATCATCGACAATGACTTAGCAGCAGGCAGGAAAACGCGTCAGTCTTCACGTGTCAAATCAAATGTTCCAGACTCGACCACCTCTCCCTCCTTGAAAACAAGAACTTTGTCACAGTGTCGGATGGTGTTCAGACGGTGAGCTATAGTTATTACCGTGGAATCCCGCAGTTTCTCTCGCACCGCTCTACCGTACATTGTTTCTTCTGTGCCTGGATCCACGTGTGCAGTGGGTTCATCCAAGATGACGATCTTGTTTTTCTGCAACAGAACACGAGCCAAACAAATCAACTGCCGTTCTCCTACACTTAAATTTGCTCCATTTTCCAACAATTCGCAATCCAATTGTCCCTCAAGACTTTGTACGAAATCTTTCAGTTGCACATCCTTCAAGACTCGCCACAGGTCTGCATCTTGGAAGCGCTGCTCAATATCCAGATTTTTCCTCAAGGATCAACTGAAAAGTACTGGAATTTGGCTAGGAGAGGATATACATCCTCCAGCTGCTCGGAGATTAATATTCTTTATCTGAATTCCGTCCACCAAGATCTCTCCACCAGGGTCGGGCATGCGCAGTAGAGCTGCTACAGAAGATGATTTGCCGGCGCCCGTGCGGCCTGCAACACCAATGTTTGAGCCTCCTATAATGTCAAGATTGATGTTCTTCAGTGCTTGAGGTCCCCCCGGGTAATACGTCATCGACACATTGCGGAATATAATATTTCCTTCGCATGGCCAGTGCTCCGGAGGACGTCGTTCCACTTGGTATCCAGGCTCAGAGTCAAGCTTGGTGTAGGTCATAACTCGTTCAACTGACGTCATAAAATTCTCGACATCTGATGATTTTCTGACAGCGTATTGCGTCAGGGA